GGTGCAGCGAAGAATGACGAATATGATTCCGGGACTTAGAAACCTTCCATATCAAGATATGTTAAAGAAACTAAACTTACATTTCCTAGAAAGACGAAGAGTGCGGGGAGATATGATAGAAGAATTTAAGTGGGTGAAAGGAATCAATAAAGGGGATATAGATAAAGTTCTTATAATATCCGAGCAGGATAGGACTCGTAGCAACGGATTTAAGTTGGATAAGTTTAGGTTTAGGAGGGAGATCGGAAGGAACTGGTTCACAAATAAGGTGGTGGACGAGTGGAACAAGTTTAACAACCTTGTAGTAAGTGCTGGAATGCTGGAAAGTTTTAAAAGGAGGCTAGATAGATTCAAGAATGATAGTGGTAGTAACTCTCGACAGGAGCTGCCATGCACAGGCCAACCGGCCAATTGCAGACTCCTTATTTTCCTATGTTCTTATGCAAGACCTCGAGTTGGTGAATGACTCTTTTGCAAGGGTTACAATTGAAACAATTCCCCTGACCAAGTTATGGTAAGAAAACAAGTGAATAGTGCCCTGCTGTAGTTGCTGTGAAGTCTTTGCTGACGTTTCCTAGTACTTATATATGTGAGCAAGGATTTTTGGTGTTGTTGAACAAGAAAACTAAATATCGGGCCCGGCTGAAAATGGAGTGTGGCCTTCGAGTATCCTTGTCTGACACTGCTCCTCGAATTGAGAAATAAGTTTCCGCAAAACAGGCACATCTTTTACGATGAAACTTAATATTGGTTGTCATAATTGAAATACTGTCTTAACATTAACAGATTGTTCTAACAATGTGTTAATGCAGCCGTACTTGCTTAATAAAGTAATCATCATTTCAAAAATTTTACAATTTCCAGTGTAGTACCATTGTACTGTACATTGAATTAGTTGTTAATGCTTATTGCTTAATAAAGTAATCACCATTTCAAAATTTTTACAATATCCGGTATAGTACCACTCTGTGTTGAATTTAGTGTCGACGGTGTGATAACTCAGGGAGTACCTGCTGAAAAAAAGTTTGAGAACCCCTGATTAATCTCAGAATCCCTGGTACAACCTCTTCTTGTGAATATGACATGATGAATACAGGTTAACTCTTGAGGTTTACTTAACCTTTTGAATACAACTTGACTTCTTGATTAAGACAACCTCGTGGGTAAAACAACGTAAATTCTGGAGTAAGCTTAATCTCTTGTGTACAGCTTAAATACAACTTAAACTCTGAATATAACTTATCATGTGAGTAAGACAACCTCTTACTGAGAAATCTTTATCACATGAATATATCTTGATCACTTGAATCTGTTAAGCTCTTGAATACATATTATACTTCTTAAATGAAACTTAACCTCTGAAATTAGAAAGGTTGCGTACATATTAACATCTTGACTACAACGTAACCGCTTAAATACAACGAAACATTTTTATTATAATTTAACCTCTTGAGAACAAGTAAACCTCTGGAATACAAAACTAGTCTCTTGAATTCAATGGAACCTCTTGAATATGTTGCAACCTATTGAGTATAATTTACATCTTTTGAGCACACTACAACCAGGTGAAAAATGCAAGCTCTTAATTAAGTCCATCTAATCTCTAGGGTAAAACAATGTAATTTTTTGATTAAGACAACTTAGCCTCTAACAATGATATTTTAACCTAGTGAATACAAATCCTCTTGAAAATAACTTAACATCTTGAGCACAACTTCACTTCTTTAGCAACACAACTTTACCTCTTGAGTAAGAAAACTTAAACTTTGGAGCAAGATAACTTAATCTTTTGAGTACAGATTGATCTCTTGAGTATATGAAAACTTAGCCACTTGAATTCAATTAATCACACGCGTAAGAAAACTTTACCTCTTGAGCAGGACAACCTCTTGGATACAATTTAACTACTAGGACTAGAGTGAGATAACTTTACATTTTGATTAAAATATCCTCTTGTGAATAACTTAACATTGCAAGTAAAACTAATTTCACCTGTTGACAAAGCTAACTGTTTGATTACGACTAAACCTGTTTAATACAACTTAACCTAATAAAATTATTGTAAGACAACTTCTCATCTTGATCAAAACCTTTTGAGTACACCTTTTCACATATCCGTTGAGACATTGTTACATAACTATTTGACAAATTTCATAACCGAATTACAGAACACATACCGAATGACAATCTAAAATAACTGTTCGTTCATGCTAACGGAAGTGATTGACATAAGTTATGAAGTTGACAGACGTGAACAATAAACCGACAGTCTACATATAGTTTGAGAATGTAACACTTGGAGAATGACATACCACCAACAATTATTTTAGATTGTCATTCGATATGTGTTCTGTCATTCGGTTATGAAATTTGTCAAATAGTTATGTAACAATGTCTCAACAGATATGTGAAAAGGTGTATTACATAGCTTCATGAGGAAGACAACCTCCTGAGGACAACGTAACATCATGTGCAAGAAAAAATATTTTCTTGAGTTGAACTTAACCTCGCAGAAAAGAAAACATCAACTAAAGAGTAATGTAACTGAATCTCATTAGTGCGAGAATACATCCTTGTAAATACATGTATGCTGACTTAACTCCTTGCGTACAACTTAACCTTGTGAGTTAAACAAATTTTGGAATACTACTTTAGAGCATTAATTTTCCACACAGATAAATAGACGAATAACTATAGGTAATCGGATACAGTGTACATTAAAATGAACAACATTTTAAGTTTTAACCTATACTATTAGAATGGGAAGAACAAACACCTAATTGAAATACTACCTTTTGTTAATAATGACTAAATGAGTAGCAAATGTTGTACTTATAACCTTTGTCAACTGAGTGCACTGGTGAATTATGTACTATTGATGCCGCAGGCGGGAGAAATCCGTCATGCCACGATACCGTTGAAATGTATTTCATTCGCTTCTCTATCTACACTATACAAGAATTCAATTGGTGGTAGAAACATCAACTCATGCACCACCGTATATCGTGGGCACTTTTACTTGAAATAAAATATTTTTTTCTTCATTATACCTACATCAGTTTTTCTGGATCTTTCGGATTTGATGAACTTCATTTTTTTTTCTCAATAAAATCACATTAAGCTGACTTAATTTTACATTCTAATTTCAAAAATATTAATTTTTTTTAGAAACACCAAACAAACCTTTGAAAACCTTCCCTAACCTTTCCTGGTCTACAAAATGGTAAGATTCGCTTTTGCAAACAGCACCACCATCATATACTAAACACCGAAAACATCACAAAGGTTAGCCTGTTACCTCTATTCAGAGCCCTAAATATTTGTTTTTTAATTTTCAGTACTTTCCACTGATTCCTCAAAAAATATAGATATTTTCTAAATTAGAATGTAAAACTACGTCAGATTAATGTGTTTTTATAAAGAAATGCAGTTTATCAAACCGAAAAAACCCGCTTGTCTTATTTCTGTTTTGTTTTGTTTTTTACTTTTTAACCCTTTTTAGAGTATCGTGAAGTATTTTTGTAATGCTTTAAAATTATTTAGGGAAATAGTGGTTACAGTATTGCAGAATTTAGAGTAAAACGCATAGGTAAATGTAGCCTGTTCACTCGAACTTTACAACTGAAGCACAGGGCAGTTCGTTGCAACCCAGCTGATTGGCTGGTGGACAGACACGTGAAGAGTCACTACACTTTAGTATTTAATCTATGGTATTTGTACGCAGATATTTTATGGGATTGTAATTTTTCTGTGTTGATATTTAATCATTTCCGCTCTTGTGGAAGCAAAAATTAGCTTGTGAAACAGAACTCTTTTAAATTGTTCCTCTAACATCACTCATACAAAATTGCAAGCACCTCCGAAAAAACGACCCTGGGTTTGCCACAGAATGCATTGCGGTAAACTAATGATGATATAGTTATGCTTAGACCCTATTGTTCACTTACGGAATGATATCCACAGGATCATAATTGTCAGGTTTGAGGTTGACTAGACATATATATTTAGATTTTATGAAAGATAATTACGATGGCATTTGTCAAAAAAAATTTGGGAGGAGAGTGAGCAAAATATATACAATTAAGAAAGTATACTTTAAATTTGATGCTCATATCACCATGTGAACAACTTTGGTTATCCCACTTCACTATGGCACGAAGAGATTTGTTTCTCCTCTCATTCATGTATTCAACCGTTTTGCACACTTTTACAATCATTTGTCATGTAGCCGAAGAGTGACTCGGTAATCTGATACTGTGGCTGTGAAACTAAACCTGTGTTTTTTGTAGGTGTGACTCTTCATTCTGTATTATCTTGAGGGGTAACGCTAAGCCTGCCTTATCAAATAGATGTAACTCTAATTTGGTGTTTACGTGTGGGTGTGAATTAAAATCCGTGTTACAGCGTTAGTTTCATCATGTAAGGTACTACTTTTAGTTTGTGTTATCATGAAAGTATGACTAAAATCTTAGTTACTGTGTAGGTGTGGTTAGTTGTATGTAATCGTGTAAGTGTGGCTAAGTCTGTGTTTTCATGAAGTGTGGCTGTAAACTGTATTTTCGTGCTAGTGCTACATGAAATACCTGTTGTTATGCTGGCATGATTCCAAGTGTTTGATATGACATGGCTTTGTGTTTTAACACTGTATTTGACCAGAGAAGAATATATATGATAACTAACATATTACTGGGAAGTATGACCAGAATGACTACATTATATGACCAACTTGTCCGAAAAAACTTTGCTGCGTTGAATGATTATGCAATAACCTCCATATTCGAGAGACAGTCATCTATGGATAGGAGCTGACTTTACTTCCAGTTTTCCTCCTTTTCTCATCTCAATAATTATCTCCAACGATATGATTAATTATAACAAGTACAAGACATAAGTCCCGTGAATCATTTATTATTGGGTTCACTTTTTTACTGCGTCGTATGTCACTACTTTTACTTACCTCCGCTCTCTTTTTCTCCTCAGTCATGCAGGTTTTAAAGTGCTCTGGAATTTATTCTGAAAAAAAAAACGACTATTGCAACTGATTACACCGAACAAAGGGTGAAAGCTGATATACAAGAAATGATTATTCGAAATCTAAGGTCTTATAGTTCATAACTCCGAATCTATGATTTCAGCTCGGGTAACAATGAATCCAGGATCATGGAATCAGTAAGATCATGGTTCCAAAATGAACACTCCTGTCATAACAATGCACTGAGGGTCTTAAGTATAACATGTGACGTCAGCAAACAGACCATCCTGAAATCGAAATCTTGCAGCAATTACTCTGAATCAGAGGTATCGTAGAAGGCAAGGTCGAAGGAGAGGTCCAAGCTGTGCATGACGGAGGAGTACCAGTTTCACTTCCAGGCTTCAATGAAGTCTGGAGCTTCCACTGGCGTGATGTCAGTGGTGCCCATCTGTGGTTTACTTTTATCAGCGACATTACCGTTGACAAAGATGTTAGGCAGAACAGCGTTCTTCGAGCCGCCACGGGTCACTTGCACTACAGCCTTGGAGAGTGTAGACCCACGGCGGGACTCTAGAGCTTCAAGGCTGCTCAGCACCTTAACATGGCCTGTAGAGTCAACAAGAGAAAAAAACATGGTAAAAAAATTAGGTGTGTGACCCCACTGGTGTTATGTATACTAATAAAAATCGAATCTAGAACATATACACGTATGTATTCTTATTGGTGATATACTGAGCAAAGGAGAACAGTGATAATGAACTAGTGTTAACTTATCATGGAACTGTTTGTTAACTGATAGAGGAATTGTGTCCTAATTAATTTTGAAACTGTCTTAAATGATCTTGAAATTGTCTTAACTAATCCTGGAACTCTTTATACCTGGTTGTGAATTTGTCTTAACAGATCGTGGAGCTGTGTTTGAACAGATCGTGGAACTGCATATCAACTGATCATGGAACTGTGTCTTAATTGATCATAGAACTGTGATAATTTGTCATGACACTGTATTTAAATGACCACAAAACTGTGGACAAACTTAGTCTTACAGTGAAACTGTGATAACTTATCATGCTGTTAGATAATTGATCAAAATAACTGTTTGTTAATTGAGGATGAAAGCGTATGACACTTGATTGTGACATTATATGATATTTGAGATCCATTGGTCTAGGAGATGTAGAAAGAGAAATCAGATACCAGATGAACATTGATGTTATAGAGAAATCCTACTGTGAAAAAGATTTAGGAGTAATGATAAGTAGGAATCTTAAACCAAGTACACAATGTGTATTTGTTCGAAACAAGGCTAACAAAGTACATGGGTTCATACAAAGGAGTGTTAGTTACAAGACTAGCGAGGTTATCCTAGAGGCCCGTCCACTATCGAGCAGTGCCTGGCGGGTACGCGCTAAATGCCCGTTATCGGGCAAAATTGGTGGGCAAACCAGCGGAGTGCCCGTGCCCGTCGTTGAGCGAAATCATGGTCCACCTGCCTGGTGGTTTGCTGCCAGATATGGAGCGACGACTTTATTATTGGAACCTCACGTGACTGTCAAAAACAGCTGATCACTATGCCACCGCTGACCTCGGGGGTCGGGGTCCTCAAGTCGGTGAGGTATGAACAGAGATACTGACAGAACGTATGCTAGCACTTTACAAAACCTGAGTTAAGTCCTGCAAATGTGATACGTATATGTTCCCCGCTCGGTCCAGATGTCCAGTGTATAACCAAATAAGCTTATGCAATGTACATTATTGGCGTGACAATAAACTGGAGATTGTGTATGAATTATGTAATGAGGACATTCGTGTGTGTGTTCTTCGTTCCTGCCACTCGCCTCACTCTAGTCCCATAGCTTCCTGTCTTTGTATATCATAATTCTAACATTATTCAATGAATTTTTATGTACTACAAATCTCACCTGCAAGCAATCTTCCTTGAGTAGTTCATACATGGCTTGACAAGTTGCAGGTATTATGTGAGACAAACTTTGTTTTGATATCCTCGTTCTATACTGAAGTGACGTGTAGGTGCACCCAGTTGAAAGATAGACGAGCCTCTGCAGATATACTCTCCCTCATATTGGTATCCTGTTTTTTTATATATGGTTTCACTTTCGCTAGAAGTTTGTAAAAGGTGTTGGGGTCCATTCTCATGTAATTGGTGAAGTCTTGCTCATGTCCATCTTGCAGTTCACGTAAAATCGTGGCATGACTTCCTAATACTTTTCTTTGCACCATTCCCTTTTCTGCATTTGGTTCTTCTTTTTGCACATAGCAGCAATTATTACAGTACACAAAGCTATGCTCTTCGCTTTAACTGTCTGGCGATTATTCCAGCGACACACCAGGGTGATCGTACCGCACCCGCCACTGCCAACCACCTACTAGCTACCGGCGCCCGACTATGACTGCCGCCAACCACCCCTGTGTGTACAACAACACACAGGCTTTGCCTGGTAAATGGGCAAAGCCCGCCGGGCACTGCTCGATCGTGTGGACGGGGCTTAAAACTATATCTTGCGCATGTAAGGCCTCACTTGGCTTACGCAGTTCAGTTCTGGTCACCGTACTACAGAATGGATATAGAATCCCTAGAAACAATTCAGAGGAGAATGATAAGACTAATCCCGGGTATTAGGAACCTTGAGTACAGAGACAGGTTAAAGCATCTTAATTTGCACTCCCCCGAGAGACGTAGAGTGAGGGGCGATATGATAGAAGTGTATAAATGGAAGTCAGGGTTAAACAAAAGTGATATAACAAAGGTACTCAAACTATCCAACCAGGAGCGAACTCGTAACAATGGTTTTAAATTAGACAAATTTAGATTTAGGAGTGAGATAGGCAAACATTGGTTTGGAAATTGAGTAGTGTATGAGTGGAACAAGTTACCAAACATCATCATTAACTCGAATACGCTGGATAGCTTCAAACATAGGTTGGATGGATATATGAACGATAGGGGTTGGGTGTAAATGGGACTGCCCAGTATGGGCCAATAGGCCCGCTGCAGTTTCCTCCATTCTTATGTTCTTATGTTACTTGCTCTTGATAACCTAAACTCAGATTGTCACTTCTTGTCTCTGAAGCCAGACACAAGCATATGTGTCTTGTTGACGGAGATATCAAGATCAAACTGCTGTGGCTTCCCTCTCACATAGGCATTAGTGAACATGATAGAGTTGATGCAGGTAGGTATCAAACAGGGAGGTAATACCGGTTGGGAAGATATTGGAAGCATAATGTGTTGTCTAATGGTAGACCCTGCTGCTATATGGCATCACGAAAATTGTGACCAAGTCCCAGGTTGCTGATCTGACTTTCTGCCTCATTTACACACAATTGCAGGGTCTCAATTGTTTCTCTTTCTATTGACAACACAACAAACATATAATGTTTCTCACTATTGATCTTTTTTTTTCTTCAAATTTGTATTTCTTTATTATTATTATTATTTTTATTATTATTATTATCATCATCATCACTGTTGTTGTTGTTATTATTAGTATTGTTGTTACTTTTACGTTTTCGACCCCCGGGCCCCGGTGTGGGTCATTGACCTGTGCCCGGGTGGACTGATCCTTGTATATAAAAAAAAAAAAAATCGCATTTAACAATGACAATGTTGAGTACAATCTGGAACTGTCAAACAGAACCTTAAAAACTGTAAACAGAAAAGAGCTTGCTGATGAATTTGAAGCCAGTAGACAAGTGCAAATAAGCACTAGCCAATCCATTGTTTACCATGAAATGTATCAAATAAAACTTGTATATGGAGCAAGTAATAAGATCACTAGATTACAAAATTCTGTAACTGCTAAAGTTAGGATATAAGTACCTCTGGCAGTATGTCCCTCAGGCAGATGTGAACAAAACTAAATGTGAAGGGTGTGGCCAGAAAATGGCCACACACTCCAACACTATGTATTAGACTGTGAAAAAATAGAACCTTATAGAGATAGAGTCAAACACATGTGCCTGCAATGGCACAGCACTTTATCTCTGAGAACAAGATAGCTGATATACTAAGGCTGTATCCACACTTCGCATCTAGTACCTAATCAAAATTCTATGTACCGACTTATACAAACAATGTACAGGAAATACTCAGTAACATTCATTGTCATAACATCGAAATCACTGGGGTCTGATAAACACCCTCTGTTGCCTGTACTCTGTAATCCCTTTTGCGCTACAGTTCACAGGATGAATATGGGGGTGCACAATAAACTAACTGCTGTCTGTGGCAAAATTCAAATTCTACATAATCCTGTGATAACTTTACACCACTTGTGAGAATATAATACCAAGTGACCTGAAACACAGTACATCTTAAAATAAATTTTTTCACCATACCCATTAACATAGTTGCTGAGTAAGGGAGTGGTGGCAGCAAATCATCTATTGTTTGATAATTAAAAGAATATAACCTCCGATTAAGTTTTTATGAGATTAACTAAATATAAACAAATAATAAAAACCCAACACTCATCAACAGACATAGGAAAGATATGTATTGTCACATACACGGGTTGTCACCCTGGGGAGGGATGTCACTGTAGTCATAACCATGGTGGTGAAAGCCCAGCACTGACACCGCCCTCGACACCCCGACGTTGCGCCGACGGATGGCGTGTTCGGCGAAGTCGGCGCCTACTAGCTCCTCCCACTCTGACATGCGGATGTTTACAATGAACCTGTTGATGATCTGTGCCAGAGGAAGAATTGTTCTTTATTATGACAATGAAAGGCAAGAGCACAAGTATTCTTTTTTAAATAATTTTAAAATCATTGTGATAGTAGCATATTTTTCTCAAACATCTCCCATTTCTGTCCATATATTTAAAAGTTTGAGTTGAAATTTTACCAACTCAATTCTTATAATATTTTATTTGCTCACTGCTGCCTTAAACTGTTTTCTGGAATTAATAACTCGATAAATATTTCCTTGTTGTGTCATATTGCACTCTGCCATCACATATGTCATCTACATACTCCACTTACCTTTCTCTTATTTCTTCTGTTTGTAAAGGGATTTATTTTTTTACTTTTTATAATCCTAACTTTTTACATACAGGTACATATTTTCTATTTTTTGTTCATTTCCCTACAGATATTTTGCTTGTTGTCATTTTCTTATTTCCTAGCATTAATTTATTTGCGGTGTTCTTTGGAATTTTACTTTTAACCATTTTCTTTTCATATCAATTTCTTTTGAAGTTAATTTGTGATAAAATCAGATTTACCCTATCAGTTTTCCCCATTTTCTAATATTTCTTTAAGTTCATTCGATGACTTTTTTTAATGTTTAATGGGTTCCAATTTCCCATTCTATTCCCTTTTCTGTTTTCAGCGTCTGTAGATCCCATTCAATTTAAATATTTCTTTCTTAACTACCAAAGTCTTAGCCTCACTAAATTCATTATATGGACACGGTCTGAGCAATAGTCTGCCCCTGAGTAGATCTTCTTGGGGGTTATTGATTTTATTATTTTTTTAATTGAAATGAAATATTTTTCAGTGATGACACTATCGTTTTAATTACCTTGGGGTCGAAATCGTAAATAAAGATGCCTCAGGTAATGGAGAAAACATGAAGTTGCAGAAATCAACTTGCATGTTTCGTAAAATCAGCTATTGGCCAACTCAAGTGATCTTACTACTGGTGCTTCTTTCCCAGTCTTTACCTTTACAAACATTCATTGAACTTCACAACTTCTTTTGTTTTCTTTAACCCTTCATATAAATTTTCTGCCTTATCCTTACTATTATTTATTGGTACTACATGTCAGGCCAGTGGGTTTTGTGTCAAAGTTGATTAGCAGGACTATTTGACACAGCCTAATATCCCTACAAACAACTAACCTGATTCTTTCTAGAAAAATGATAACCACCTTAATGTGACATTTTTATCCGCAAATGCGGTCTGATCCTGTATCACTTCCCTAATCTCAAAATGTCTCACTTCAACGTTCCCTGCAAATATTTACATACTTCTCATAACGTCCCTACATTAAATATTTCTAATTGATTTTATATCCACTCATCCTTAACCTGATTGAATTGTTGTTTATAATTATGGCATTGTTTTTTACAGGAGGTACTGTACATACTCGCTAGTTTTCCGTAGCAAACTGCCAGCAAGCACAGGAAGCAATGTTATCCAACATGATTTTTTTTCCTTCTAGAATAAGAATTTAAATTCAATGAGGCAAGACACCCAATGTTTTTCCATCAACAGAGGGATATCGGGAAAGAAGAAACATAGGGATAAAATATGGAAAATAGAGGTCGCTCATAACTCACTTCGGGTAAAATGGACTTATCAAATGAGGGACAGGTAATGTGGTTCTTTATTCTAATGGTGAAGGGTTAAATGCAGATTCATAGTTTTGGTTTGAACCAGAGTGAGTGGTTTGTAATCGGAGGGTGGTGGATTTGAACAGAATAATAACACAGATCCAAAGGAAAGTGTCCTTTCCGTCTAAAGATAATGTAAACCGCCGGTCCCAGAGTAAAATCACCAGCAATGGGGTAATGTAAAATTGATATCCAGTATTACTTAATGTTTTTGGTATAATTACATGCCCATTAATTTTTGACAAGAAATAATATGGATATGAAATATCCCAAGGAAAAAGCAAACAAGAAAAAAATACATCACTCAGCTCAGCCTGTCTGTTTTAATTGATTCATGGCCAATATATGAGTGGCATCCAAGGTTCGTCCTAACAGTATAGAAACACATGATGTACAAAGCAGTAATCTGAACATGTGTGTGTGAGAGCGGGATACAGTTCAGCACAGATATTCGTGGTCCACCTAAGGTGGAGGGCATGGGGCTCGGCCTACCCTTATTGGACTGCGAAACAGTGTCTAGACGCCCAGGATTAACGTGCAAACTAGTATCTGTGTTGGGGGTTGTCTAGACAGTGACTCACAGTCCAGTAAGGGTGGGACGCCGGGACGGGGTCCATACTCTCCATCTTGGGTGGACCACAAAATTCTGTGTGCAATTGTACTGTACATCATATTGTTGACGAAACTTTTTTTCGTCAGTACAGTACACCATCACCTTCTTTCAGGGTAAATCAGGAAAAGTCAGGGAATTTCAAGGCAGGTTAGGGAAAATTGTGTTTTGAAAAGGTCAGGGAAAAGTCAGGGAATTTCATATAACTTGAAAAAAAATATGTTCAGTTTGGTCTGCATATTATGGGAAAACGGCTGGCTGTCGTTTTTGCTGATATTATTGGTGTGAAACTGAATATTGTATAGTAAACTGGGAGTTCTTTACGATGACGATTACCCAATCACATGGGGTTTTATCATCAATGAAGATTTAGTTGAAACTCACATTTTGAAATAAACTGTAGTAGCGCAAAGAATTATCTGTGGTAGAGTTTCGATCATTTTAGTTGAAGAAAAGAAAGGTGATATGTCAAAAGTGACGGTCACTAAAGAAATATTGAGATATTGCAGCAGGGCCACTGTCGATTTAAATATTAAACCTACTGAAGTGTGAAAAAAATACCAGCAAGACAATTAGCGTTGGAACTGAAAAATCTAGGTTAAAAATATAGACGCAGAAAAAACATTGAAATATTGAAAAGTTAATTAAGGAGGCTGATGATTTAGCACAAAAAGCAGAAAAAAAACAAGGAGTACATCTGTACTTGTTAACTGAGTGCAATGCATCATGTAAAAAGTCTTTAAAAATTAAAGGGTTTTTGGAAGATACTTTTCAAAAATGGTTAGTTGAAAACATTGTAAAATTTGAAGATCAGTTGAATACATTGTAAAACTTGAACATCAGTTGAAACAAACCTGAATGCTTATTGTGCAGTTGCATCTCACTGAATTCCCATAGTCTATCATGTGTCTTTGCCAGTTAAAGTACTGTTGGTTACGTTTAAAGACAAAATCTGCTTCTTCATTAATGTATTTTCTTTGGATTTTTTTCTTCAGGCTACAATGTTTATTTGAGTCTTTACACTCATTGGGCTGGGCTGAAGAATTTAGTTTTATTCAGATTTGGTAATTTTCTTTGTTACAGGGCAGTGGTCACATTTCATGATAAAGTTGGTAGATGAATTATATGTTAGCGTTGGTTAGTAGTGTTCCATCTGGGTTAACTCTTTGGTTAGAAACTGAAAATTTTATTCTTGACCAAGGTCAAAACATCCTCCGTGTGTGACCACCATTTCCCGCCCCAAATTCTTACTAAACATAAACTCAAACTTATTTTGTCTTCTTTAAATAGTCAGGGAATTTGTAACAATTCAGTTAGGGAAAGTCACGGAATTTATTTTTGAATTTCTGTGATAACCTTGTGAGAAAATTGGTACTTATATACAGAAAGATTACTTGTGTACGAACTAGCGACCCTTGCGAAAGGAGGTGAGTACTTTAAAATGTAAGAAGACAGAGAGTCCACTTGTATCATAAGGCGTCAATGGCTTATACTTACGTAGAGGATGACAAAGGTGGCGCTCATGGACCACACGATGATACACAGGCAGGCGAGCGTCTGAACACCCAGCAGGTAGAACCCTCCTCCTAGGACAAAACATTGTTATTGCCAGTGTTACAACACCCACCCAGTAGAACCTTCTTCCTAGGACAAAACAATATCACAGCTAGTGGTATAAAAACCAATATAAAGAACCTTATTCATAAAAAAAAAAAATGCTTGTGTTGTTGAAATCTCTAGCAAGTAAAATCTCACCCTTGGACAAATGTTATTAAGGCACGTTTTAAGAAATTCACAGGTCCACTCCTCTTTTTGGAATAAAAGCTTTTAATATGAGTGTTAAAAGACCTAGCGATTGTTTTGTTACTAGAACTAGCAAATGGAACCCATCTCCTATGGTAAAATCATAGTGCTAGTGTTATAACAGACAAGCTGAAGAACCTACTCCTATCAAAACAGACAACAGGCAGAACACTCATAGGATATAAAATTAATGGACTCAAACTTACTGTAGCCAGGCTCTCACCTGCTAAGAAAGTATCTCTGTATCATTTTCGCCACTTATCAGCTAACTAGCCGTTCGAGCGGTTGGTTTATCCAGTGTTGGTACAGCAGGAAACCGGGAACCGGGACACCTGTGATGCTTGGTAGGGTCACATTGGATAACACCCTTCTCACGTTTGTCCGAGCCGAGGCTCGAACCGTTGACATATTGGTGAGAGTTATGCACTTTACAGCCTTATGTTTGTTATGTCAAATGAGCTATAGCGGAAACTCGTTGAAAACCTTGTGTAAAGGCCTGACCTTTGGGATATAAATCCCTTGCCAGCCTAATGAGGATCTTATAAAATAGAAAGTCAAGAACCATGGGGTTCCAAGGGGTAACAAACTACCGTTAGAGATTGACATCTCTTTACTACGAAAATAATCACAATAATTTAACTCTGACACCAATCGGCACAAATATTAAATAAACAGCACTGGAGTCAAACAATTACAGTACTTAAAACATTTTTAAACAACCATTGCAACAAAAACAGGTATTTCCTACGGCTGCAGATGAATCTTCCTCCTAACCAGCATAGTGGAATGTTCTGGTAACGCATGATCAGCTCTCGGGGGGGGAAAGTCCAAGGCAACTTCCTCACTTGGCGCCGGCATTGGTGGGCGATGTCTTGTCACACAGGAGAGACGCCAGGGCACGGACGGTGGATAGGGCGTTGAGGAAGTTACAATCACGTGGCAGCCGCGGCAGTAGCTGGAGTAGGCGACCGGAGTTGACAGTCGAATAATGAAGGACCGGGGAATCAGCCCACAAGCCCAGGAACCTCAGATGAGTACACAACCAGAGTAGGAATCAAACCGCTGGGTGAAGTAACAGCTGTGGTGAAGGATGGATCGTGTCTGGCATGTGATGAGGCAGAGAGACCTCACCTCCGTCTCCCCAGTGGGGCCGTGAACAAGCAAACGAGCGGCGGACAACCTACCCGCTCGTTGCAGCCCTTACACCTTGATCCAGTGTATTCCTGTCCCAGCAGCCTTTATTCCTGCCCATTATATGATTTCCATTAAATCATAATGTTTTATGCCTAGTGTTTAATTCTTACATTCTTGAAAGAACCTGCCTGATAATTTCTATGAAAAGAAATGACATTTTCCAATACCCATTATTACCGTTTTCTAGCAAGTAACACCCAAGTAAAACATTTAGGACTTACCCCTAAGGAGACCTGACTTCCCTTTGGTCATACTGAGCAGTGAATCCTTCTTTACTAATAGTCCGATAGCAATCATGGCCCACATCCCACACAAACCTGCAACATAATATATTATAGTGTACGACCCGTAACACGATATATTATTACTCATCTTTCACATAATCCTGCAACATATTATGAGCAACATCCCATACACTCATGTAACATAATACAACATAGTCCACATTCATGCAACATAAAATATAATTGTCCACATTACATACATCCCAAACAATGATACAAATGATATTCTGACTTATTTCTAACACAATTCTGCAATACATTTTTATAGACCATATCTAACACAATCCTGCGGCACAATGTATCATGGCCCACATCTCACACTGCAACACATTATAATGGGCCATATCCCATACAGTTATATATCATAAACTATCTAGGACCCCATAAAAAAAAAAATACAAATTATCGTGGTTTACTTCCCATAATTTTCTGTAACACATTTTATTATGGCTTATTAAATCCCACAACAAAAACAATAAAGACCCGACACAATTCTGCAACATAAACTATTAAAAACCACTGGCCGCACACTGCTCATATCCAAGACATAATTAACATCCCACAAAATCCTACAGCTTTAACTATCCTGTTATATATTCTTCACAATTTTTCAACATTAAATCTTAGTTCCCACATCTCACATAATCCTGCATCATAAATTTCAAGGTATCAGAATATGTGGATTAATGCTCACCAATGGATATGTTGTACAGGTGCCTCAGACATTTCCTTTATCCCTTGTGGTGATGTTTACGTAATTTTTTTTTTTTATTGGGCGCCCCCCTACATCCTTGTGTAAGGTGAAGCGCAGAAGCATTTACAGCGCCCAGCAGGGATGCATGCTAAGTTCATGCTTGCCTTTATGTCTCATGAGTTAAGGGCGTAGAAGCCTGAAGAGTCAAGGGCGTAGAAGCCTGAAGAGTCAATGGTTTATGTCATCAAGTTATTGGAAGTTCCAATAACTTGCCCTGAATACAAATTGGCAACTTTCGATTTACAACAGGTATTTGTACATGGCGCAGTGAGTATGTACATGGTACAATAACTGATATATTTGTTTTATTATTTGTTTGTTAATATAATTTCTGTAATTAAATCTACTTCATGAATTTCAAAATACCCCATAGTAATGAGGTGATGAATTTGGTGGGATCTGTTCCTTGGACCTATAATACGAAGAGAAGTTGAATTTGTGCATTGTTACAACCTAAGAGGCCAAGGTCGTAACAATTTGGCGACCTTGCCAGGATAGATCCCTTTATCACTCATTAACTATTGGGAATATTTATATATAGATATTCTTTATTGATTAATCATGGCTACTTTTGACATTGAAGAGTTTGTTGAGAATCCATCCATGAAAATGTTGAAAGACTGTGTTCTATGAAAGGATGATTGGATGAGACTTGCTGATACATATGAAATTGAGTATCAACATAGTCAAAGGAAGCCTGCGATTCAAAATGCAGTTCTATCTGAAATTGTGAATGAAGAGATGCTACCGAAGGGGGCACTGACTTTGCGTGCATTTGACCCCAGGGAAGCTGTAGAGATAAGAAAGCTAGAAATGGAGCATGAGTTGACTTTGAAGGAAAGAGAAGAAATGGAAAGAAAGCGTGAAAGGCAGCATGAATTAGCGTTAGCACAGGCTAGCAGTAGAAGACGAGACTTATAGGCATTGTCTTTAGAATCTGAGACAAAATTGTTTGATGTGACAAAACATTTGAGACTTATGCCTGCCTTTGACGAGGAGGATCCAGAAGCGTTTTTCATGCAGTTTGAGAAAATTGCAAAGTCTTCTCAGTGGCCTAAAGAGTCGTGGATTGTTATGATTCAAAGTGAGCTCACTGGGTCAGCTATTTCAGCATTTCTGTCTTTGTCAAGTGAAGTTTGTCGTAGTTATGAGTTAGTGAAAGAAGAAATTCTTAAGGCATATGAACTCATTCCTGAAACATATAGAGTGAAATTTAGGACTATCAGAGAGACTGATGTACAGTCATATATAGAATTTGTTTATTCATTGAGTAAAATGTGTGGAAGGTGGATAAAGTCTAGCTAGGTAGAAACTTTTGAGGAACTTGTTCAGTTTGTGATTTTATAACATTTCAAAAGAGCCACTCCGAGAGATATACAATTGTACTTGGGAGAGAGAGATATTAGTAATGTTCATAAAGCTGCTGCATTAGCTGATACCTATACCCTTACTAACAAAATGTATCCTGTTAAATTTCAAAATCATTCAGGTGGAAAGGGTTTTGTAACCAAGGAAAAGGGTGGTAGGCAGGATGGTAGTGCTGCTTCTTCTAGTAGAGTAAATTTTCGTGGAAACTCAGGTGAGCTTTCCAAGACATATGCCAAGACTAAAGCATTTGTCTGTTTTTACTGTAAGAAACCAGGTCATGTGATTGCGAATTGCCCTAAATTGAAAGCAAAGAAGGAAGACCCAGTTCTTTCATTCGGACCTCTGGAGAAGTTTGACAAAACTTTAGTGAGTAATCGCCCAACGGAGGATTCTTTTGAACCTTTCATGTTTGATGGTTCAGTTGCAGTTGAAGAATCAGGTGATCAGTACCCTGCAAAGATTTTGCGTGGCACAGGTGCTTTTCACAGTATTCTGAAGAAAGATCTGTTCCCTGTGTGGAAGATTCCTATACCTGTACTGGAGGGCATTTGGTGCTTAAGAGTGTCGGTGGAGTGATCACTGTTCCTTTGTGTAGGGTGTTTTTGAGAACACAACTTGTGACTGGTTGGGTGACTATTGGTGTTCAAGATTCTCTTCCTGTGACAGGGATTACTTTTTTGCTGGGTAATGATATTGCAGGAGCCAGCGTGGTGCCAGATCTTGTTGTATCTTCGACTCCTACAGAGGAGAATAATACTGGTTTATTTGAAGAAGAATACCCAGATTTATTTCCTTTATGTGCAGTCACAAGGAGCCAGACTCTTTGGAATAAGGTACAGACCGTTCCTTCAGTTGACCGTGAGCTTTGTATTGCTGATAGTAGTGCACTTGGCAATGATGTAAATGATTTAGGTATTGAGAATCTGTTTGGCAGTCAGGAGGATTCATTTGATAGTGACATTGGTGGGAGAGATGCGAGTGAAGCTAAAGATTCAGTTAACATTCATTCCCCCAAATCTGAAGCTGATCTCTCTTCTAGTGACAACATTACCATCCAGAAAGTACCTGTCACTAGGGAAAAACTGATAGATGGTCAGCAGAGTGACTCCGAATTAGCTGAACTGTGTAGGAAGGCTGTGGATATGGAAGAAGCGGCTCGTTTTCCTGTTTGTTACTACATGGATTCAGAGTTACTTATTGAGGAAATTCAGGTCTGTATCTGATCCTGCTGATGAGTGGAATGTTGTGCATCAGGTTGTGATTCCCAGATGTTACAAGGGAGAAGTCTTGATATAAGCACACGACTTTTTGGGGGGACATTTAGGAGTTAGGAAAACATACAAAAAGATTTTGTTGCATTTTTACTGGCCTGGAATGAAAGGTGATGTTGCCAGACACTGTAGAACTTACCATGAATGTCAGATGGCTGGTAAACCGAATCCGGTCATAAAACCTGCTCCCCTAAAACCCATTCCTGTGGTAGATGAGCCATTCAGCAGGGTTATAATTGATTGTGTAGGTCCTCTCCCAAAAAGTCAAAGCAAAGAGTGGGGTAAAGGCTCTGACTAACTTCTTCACTAAATATGGCATCCCTAGAGTAGTACAGTCGGATTAGGGTACTAACTTCACTTCTTTCCTTTTCCAGCAGGTGATGAATGAATTGAGTATTAAGCAATACTTAGCTTCTGCATACCACCCTCAAACCCAAGGTGCCCAAGAGAGGTTCCACCAGACTTTAAATCTATGCTTAGAAAATACTGTATGGAGTCTGATAAGGATTGGAATGGAGTGCCACCTATGATGTTTGCCATAAGAGAGACTACCCCAAATTACCTAGGATTCAGTCCCTTTGAAATGATTTTTGGTCATGTTGTAAGAGGTCCTATGACTGTGTTGAAGAAAAGTTGGATAAGTAATCAGATAACTGTCCCTTTGTCAGTGTATGTAGAGAAGTTTAAAGAGAAACTGAAGAGAGTAGGTGAGATTGCTCGTGAAAATCTGTCAGAATTACAGGAGAAAATGAAAAAGAAAACGATATGATGAGCATTGTCATGTTATGCCCTTCGGCCTCAAAGGAGTACCAGCAACATTTCAGCGAGCGATGCATATAGTGACATCAGGCCTGCATGCCGGGAGTGTACGCCTATCTAGATGATCTGGTCGTCGTTGGTGAGACATGAGTACAACACATTGGCCAACTCCGTGAACTCTTCAATCGTCTAGCAAAGTTCAACTTCACCGTAAACCTTTCCAAGAGAGAATTCGGACATGCCACCTTAATCTTCCTTGGTCATGTCATTGGACAAGGGAAAATTGCTCCAATTGATGCCAAGGTTGCCGATAATCTCAGTCTACCCGCACCTCACAATCGAAAGGCTCTCAGAAGATTTCTCGGGATGGCTGGATTCTACAGGAGGTTTTGTCAAAACTTTGCCAGGGTGGTCAGTCCCCTAACAGATTTGGTCAGCCCCAATAGAAAGTTTGTGTGGACTGATGAATGCCAGACAGCATTCGAAAAGGTTCGTGGACTGATGAATGCCAGATAGCATTCGAAAAGGTTCGTGGACTGATGAATGCCAGACAGCATTCGAAAAGGTTCGTGGGTTGTTGGCGATGGCTCCGTACTGTACTGCAACTCCCAGACTTTAAGAAACAGTTTGTGATACAATCGGATGCGTGTGACACAGGAGTTGGTGCTGTGTTAAAGCAAAAAAGAAAATATGGAATATTGCATCCGATCTGTTATTTCTCGGTCAAACTGAAAAAGCATCAACGTGGATATGCCACAATATAAAAAGAAGCATTGGTCCTTTTGTTAGCTCTGGAAAAGTTTGAAGTGTATGTAGGTGGATCACCTTACCCAGTGATAGTTTATACAGATCATAATCCACTTCAGTTTTTTTCATAAAATGAGAAATGAGAATCAATGACAGTTACAGTGGTCATTAGCTCTTCAACCCTATAATATTGAAATCAACCACATAAAGGGCTGTGATAATATTATTGCCGACACTCTATCTCATGTTGAGTAAAAGTTTATTCAGAGCTTCTTAAACATTAACGTTCAGCCACGAGATCAAACACTCCTGCATAATTGTAAAACATATCACGCCATGCAAACTTCAGATCCATTGCTTACTTCAGGTGTTCGTGTAATAATTGCCTCGACAGGCGCAGGGGAGTCTTTGGCACAGCAGCAATTAGTTTTGGAGTCACTCTCTGAAACTCCAACTAGTAGCTCAGAGGACATTTCTGATGAAAGCCGCCAGAACTGGACTCTAACGCCTGCTGTGTTAACTGGTGTACAACGATTACATAGCCAGGAACTAATTAGAGTCACAGTACATTTGCCAAATGTGAGTGAAGGAACAGATGTTGTGTGTCTGAGTGAAAGTTCACGAGTGAAAGGTTTGTCACTTGAGTCTACCTTAAGCACCGTTAGAATAGGTAGTCTCACAGTTGTCCTCGTTCTCAATAGAACTGTGGGACCCATAACCTCAAGAAAGGGATGCTGTTTAGGTAATTTCCTTGTTTTTGACAAAGCAGTTGTCGAAGAGCCATTAGAATTACCAATAGGTAGTGTAACTCAGAGTAAATCGAACGAAAAATCACATATTGTAAATAAAGTAGCGTATATATATATATATATATATATATATATATATATATATATATATATATATATATATATATATATATATATATATATATATATATATATATATTTCTTTGTGATATCACACACTTCCAACATGAGAGGACATATCTATAAGCTCACCGAGTTATCATGCAGAACGAATATAAGGGAATACTTTTTTCAACAGAGGGTGGTAGAACTTAGGAATGGTCTACCAACCCATGCTGTGGAATCAAGAACAGTACTGACAAAAATATAAAGAACAATGGAGGGATCCTACACAGGCCACTCTGGCCTCCCTAACTCGGCTTATCCACCTCTAGTGGGTGCCCAATAGGTAAATAAGGTAGTTAAGGTAAACGTTTACTAGACGCAGGGCATATCCGGCATAATCTTGCAACATTTCATGCCGTGGCCCACACCACACAGTAATCTCCAACAATCACTATCAATCCTGATATTTCAGACAATCTTGCCTTGCCCACTTCCTAAATAAGCTTGCGATATCATGTGGTCCTGCTTTATCCCTCACCTTACACAAATCCGTAATATTAACTACCATGACCTACATTTCATTACATTTCATACAATCCTGGAACAGTATCAACCGTCACATATCTCACATATCAAAGACCACCTGTGTATGAGGTTTATGTATAAGTTTATTGATTAAACTAACCAGAAACTGGTGCAAAATGGACCCCGACTAACCAACAAATTAATGCTTATTTTATAAATGTCATGATGAGAAAAGACAAATGATATTGCCATTCCACCTACCCCAGAGCACGTATCTCATGACATATTTTCCCAAAATTCAAAATTTGCGTTCAATGTATAATTTTAGTCTCAATGTGATATGATTTTTTGGTTATAATTATAAAATATCAATTAAAGTTTAGTATAAACGTACCATGTACAGAGGTAGCACCTACGGGGTCGTCAATGTGAAGCTTGTCGAAGAGTGGCATCGCCATCACAGAGATTAAGCCCCCGATGATGCCTATGAAGAGAGCCTCCCAGGTGGTGAAGAGCGCACACCCAGCTGGTGAGGGAAAGATGGTGAAAAGATCATCCAGCTGGTGAAAGAGACGATGAGAACAATCAGCTGGTAAAGGAGAAATGGCGAGAATAACAACCATCTGGCAAAAGAGGAGTGGCGAAAAGAAAAACTAGCTGGTGAAGAATGGGTTTCTAGAAGAGCTTCTAGCTGGTAAAGAAGAGGATGTAAGTGGAACATCCAGCTGGGGAAGGAAAGGTGGTGAAACGAAAAGACTGCTGGAGGGAGGAATGTGGTGCGAAGAACAAGTTGACGAAGGACACTTGGTGAGTGGAATATCCAACTTGTGAACGAAATATGAAAATAGAGGTACACATCGGTAGGTGGTGAAGCAAATGTAGTGAGAGCGACTCCATGAAAGTGAAGGAAAAGGAGTGAAACATTCATCTGGTGAACATGAAGACACAGCTGGAGTACGTAAGCTAGCGAAGGAGAGTTCAAACGAAGAACAAGCAGTTGGTGAAAGATACGTCGTTAGATGAGTCCCCAGTTAGTTAAGGAGAGGTTGTAAATGGGACATCCAACTGGTAAAGGAGATCTGGTGAAAGGAACAATAAGCTAGTGAAGGAAAGCTGGTGGGGGGGAACAATAAGCTGATGAAGGAGAGCTGGTGAGAGGAACAATAAGCTGTTAAAAGAGAGCTGGTGAGAGGAACAATAAGCTGGTGAAGGAGAACTGGTGAGAGGAACAATAAGCTGTTAAAAGAGCTGGTGAGAGGAACAATAAGCTGGTGAAGGAGAGCTGGTGAGAGGAACAATAAGCTGTTAAAAGAGAGCTGGTGAGAGGAACAATAAGCTGGTGAAGGAGAGCTGGCGAGAGGAACAATAAGCTGTTAAAAGAGCTGGTGAGAGGAACAATAAGCTGACGAAGGAGAGCTGGTGCGAGGAACAATAAGCTGTTAAAAGAGCTGGTGAGAGGAACAATAAGCTGGTGAAGGAGAGCTGGTGAGAGGAACAATAAGCTGTTAAAAGAGAGCTGGTGAGAGGAACAATAAGCTGAAGAAGAGCTGGTGAGCGGAACAATAAGCTGAAGAAGAGCTGGTGAGCGGAACAATAAGCTGGTGAGAGGAACAATAAGCTGATGAAGGAGAGCTGGTGAGAACAATAAACAGGTGAAGAAGAGCTGGAGAGAGGAACAATAAGCTGTTGAAGGAGAGCTGGTGAGAGGAACAATAATCTGTTGAAGGAGAGCTGGTGAGAGGAACAATAAGCTGTTGAAGGAGAGCTGGTGAGAGGAACAATAAGCTGTTGAAGGAGAGCTGGTGAGAGGAACAATAAGCTGATGAAGGAACATTAAGCTGACGAAAGAGAGCTGGTGAGAGGAACAATAAGCTGATGAAGGAGAGCTGGTGAGAGGAACAATAAGCTGGTGCAGGAGAGCTGGTGAGAGGAATAAGAAGTTTAGCCCACTATCGTAGGAATAAGTGCACAAGATGAGGATCCACTAAGCCAATCTAGGCCCTATTACACCGGTAGGTCAACCTAAAACCCAATACCTCAATCCAGAATCTCGCATACTCAACGTAGGACCCACCTGTGATGCTGACCAGCGCCCCAAGTACACTATTGACCACGTCGGCGACCTCCAGTCTGCGGTTCTTGTACCAGGAGAGACTCATCCCTGCCAGCCCGCCGCCAATACTTGACTGTAGGGTGGCGACGGCTGTACGTGCCGCATACTTCCATCTGTCGCCAGTGATGCCGAAGGTACTGAGGAAAGTCAATATTATAATGAGAAAGGAGAGGAAAGGGTGAGAATAAACATTTATAAATAAGAAATAGTCAGGAAAATAATGAAGGATGCCGAGGAGGAACATATGAAAAAAGAAGGAGCGTGTGTCAATATTATGTGTCTGTTATAATATTACAGATAGCATTTTTTATTACACTAAAGCTGGCAATACCTTGTTTTTGTAATGGATTTTTTATTTGTTTGTTATGAAAAGTCAGGTTATATTATGTTCTATTGACAAACTTTCTATATGTGCTTGTTATAGATATGGACATTACATGTCTTTAAGGATGTGTCGGATACTATTATGTTTGTTATGATAGAAAGATATAATTTAATTTCATGAGGAGAAAAGTAACATTTCACGCTTAATGTAATGAGATAAGGTTAGAGTTAGGGAGGACAAACTGTGTAAATCCACGTTATACAGTAAATATATACCTAACACGGGCGAAGGCGGGCAATTTTACTAGTTTACAATAAAGTGACGGGCAAGACTGTTTGTTGTGAGGGGATAGATATTTATGTGCTTTTGTTACTAAAGGACAGGCAATGTTCGTCTGTTGTTAAGGGGCAGGTACGAATGTTATCTTGTTGCTAAGAAATAGGTACAAATGTTTGTTTGTTACTAAAAGACAGGAAATAATGTTCGTTCGTTACTAAGAGACAAGTAATAATGTTTGTTTGTTACTAAGAGACAAGTAATAATGTTCGTTTATTACTAAGAGACAAGCAATAATGTTTGTTTATTACTAAGAGACAAGTAATAATGTTCGTTTATAACAAAGAGACAAGTAATAATGTTTGTAAATTACTAAGAGACAAGTAATAAGGTTTGTTTGTTACTAAGAGACCAGAATAATGTTTGTTTGTTTCTAAGAAACAGGTAATAATGTTTGTTTGTTTCTAAGAAACAGGTAATAATGTTTGTTTGTTACTAAGAGACAGGAAATATAGTTAGTTTGTTATTAAGGGAGATGTAATTATATTCTTTTGTTGTAAAAGGAAAAGCATTACTGGTAAGAAAATAAAACAGACGAAAGGGATTTTATTAAATAAATGTGATGGTACAAAACAAATTCAAATTATGCGGTGAAAATAAAGAACAAAGTTAAAGATTGTTTTCCTTGTAATCTGCTAAAATAAAAAATAAATATTATGTTTGCGAAAAGATCAGTTAAGTTACCATAATCACCGTTCAATAGTGATAATGGAATGCAATCTGGTGAGAACGTACACTTGACCCACACTAAATGGTTCCCTTACCTGCCACAGTTAAAGCCGAGCCAGCCCCACCACAACATGAACATGCCAAGGATGGCGTTGGTTGGGGAACCCATGGGCAGGGCTCCTTCACCGTCATCGTACCGTCCAATCCTTGGACCCACCATCGCCGACGCTACTAATGCTGAAACCCCATAAGTAACAATTATACTTTTACCCGGCAATTTTTCTTTCTTCGTTGTTATAAGATAACATCTTATTTTAAAATAAGCTATATTACAAAAATGTCACAACCCAAAATTTCAGCTAAACTCTACTAGAAGTAGATGTCACGTCTTAGAAACTTCTAGTCAACAGTTTAAGGTTTACTTAAAACTTCCATGGAATACCTGGGAGAAATATATATGTAAGATGTTAAATGATGTTAAATAGAAAAACCTCTCGTGAACAAATTGCAGTGTGTTTCCAGAGAATTTAAGTATCAGATAAGTAATAAGTATTTGATGCATCAACAGTTTTGAGATATATAGAAAGAGATACAGATATATATATATATATATATATATATATATATATATATATATATATATATATATATATATATATATATATATATATATATATATATATATATATATATATATATATATATATATATATTTATTCAGAAATTTCAGTGTAATTTCAAACGCCGCCCATTGGCGATGCTGAGTTCAAGGTCGTCTGAGGGCCGCGCTCCCCGCATGTAGCAAGAGATTGTGGAACTAGGCCTATACGATATTAAATGTAATTTACCGAGTTAATAGGGACGCGAATCATGAAATTAAATATCAGTTATTAAATTGAAAATAATTATAGATCGTTTCCCAGTCTGAAAATGTTGCGTACGTCTGGTAAATAAGTCACTCCCGGAAAGCACCAGGGAGCAAGGTGGCCGGGGAGCTGTGAGAGAGGTCAAGGACCACCTCTGTGCTGTACCCAGGAGAGACGGATTGCGTGACCTGGTCAGTGGCGGCTCGTGCATAGGGCTGCAGAGCTGCAGTCCCCCCAGACACTCACTGCCAGGCGTATGATTCCTTTAGAGAGACAGCTGAATAATACACTACCAACAAATATATCATTTTATATGTTATTTAATTATTTTCAATACGTTGCTAAGTGAATTTTCATTAAAATCAGACCAAAATTTAAGTTACTTTCATAGTTGCTGTCAATGCTGTACGATTCATGTCTGTTATTAATTGGCGCCGCCGCCACACCACTTCTGGAGACAATGAGCTGCACTTGAAGCAGCTCAGTCTCGTACAACGTGTTTACATTGCGTGTGGACGGTGTGGTTAAATCGTGCAAAGGAGGTCTGTGACGTAATTTTGCTGCAGTGCAGAGAGAGATTCAGCTTTACTAATCATTTGGAAGCAAGCAAGTTACTTTTAGTGAATAATTTTCCAGTGTATGCCAAAAATTTCCCTAGTAATGAACTTGAACAAGCAGTTGCAGCATATCCCATGCTTGAAAAAGACAAATTGAGAACTGAACTTACTGTACTGTACACAAGAGAAGATTTGTGTAAATCAGAAAGTCTCATGGACTTGTTGGAGATGATGAATGACAATAATCTACAGTCAACATTTTCAGACACTGTCAAGTTGCTGAAAATTTTAATAACAACTCCAATGACAACGGCAGAAGCAGAAAGGTGCTTTTCAACTTTGAAGAGAATTAAAACTTTTTTGCGCAGTACCATGGTGAATGACAGACTGTGCTTTAGCAGTGATATCCATTGAAAATAAAATGATAACAGAAATAAAGGATTTTAATGAAATAGTAATAAACAATTTTGCTACATCGAAGAGCAGACGCGCGGACTTTATTTTCAATTGATACTGGTCCATCACCACCAACACTACTACCATGCCCTGGGAATTCGTGGACATCAACTACAACTCATACCTGAGGTAGGTCAAATTTGTGTATCCTACTGTTGTGTGAGGCTTGCAGTCCCTCCATTTTATTTTTCACCAGCCGCCACTGCTCTATACTCAAGGTTCCTAATGCCCGGGATTAGTCTTGTCATTCTCCTCTGAATTCTTTCCAAGGATATCTTGATAAAATCACACGTTTTCATTGTGGATCTACATGAAATATATATATATATATATATATATATATATATATATGCAAGTAAATCACTGTAGGTGCGCGTGATCTAGGTATATGCTGATAACCACAAGGAAAGAAGAAAACACGAAGTTCCCAAGCGCTTTCGTGTAATTCACATCTTCAGGGGTGAGTACTCACCCCTGAGGGAATGGGACAACTGGCCGACGCCATCTGGCCGCAGCCCAACTGGCCGCGGGAAACTCGCCGCGGCCGACTGGCCGCCGCGGACTGGGGGTAAACTGCAAACGCCTATTTTTGCGCTCTCAAAGGTTAGGTTAGGTTAGGTTAGGTTAGGTGCTGCTCGGGCTTTTCTAGCTTGGAAACGGGAAGTTTGCCTTTCCCGGACCCTTTGCAGCCGCTGGGCCATGCCGCATTAAATTAGTTGCCGTGATTGCTGTGGTATCTGGTTTGTGGGGCGATGATGTCGGTTGGAGTCCGTTTGTGTGTCCCTTCTTGCTGTCCGGGGTCGATAAAAACAGGAGAACCTCTGTCCCGAGAGGTACTAGGCTTAACCCTATTATATACCTCTGCCTTGGGATTAGGAGGTTAACTGTGACGTTCGGTGGCTGGGCAGTTACACAACGGCTGAGATCCTGTTCATCCACATGAGTTGGTCTTAGAGGATTAACTTGAAGTATCCTCTGTAGAACTGAGAGGTACGGATGGGCAAATGCCTCTCGCCTTTTCCAGGGTCTCCCACTCCACCGGTTGAATGGATAGTCCCGTGGACTCTGCTTGAAGGGCTAGGTTATCTATACAAAGTCTCTTAAGTCTGCTGGTGGAGTGCAGTCGTGGAGAAATTGTTGCAACCTGTAAAGCCACTGTGTCATCTGCAGCGTTACTGCCTGGGCAGAGAGGAGAGCTGAGGCCGTGAGGCGGCAGCAATAGTTATCTCCTACTTCGGAAACTTAGCAAGCCAGGGGATATTTTCAGGCTAAACTTTGAGAGTACAGCCTATCTACAAACGACCCCAGCAACTCTGGCAGCCGCTGGTGTAGCTCCCGAACCACATTGGTTAGCATCGCTAAGGAGTTTTCTGTCTGCTGTTTCTGCACTGAAACCTGCTGTTGTGGTGCAGTAGTAGGAGTCTGGTGACTATATTCTACAAGCCGTCGTCAATGGTCAAATCCTCCCAGGAGACGGACTGCTGGTTGTCGTGCTCTGGAATGTATTGCTAGCATGACTGGGATCCCGACGACATGAGAGTTTCCTTGACGCCGAGCCCCCCTAACGTGTGCAATGCCGAGGCGTGCTTCCAATTCCGGGTTCTTCTACTGTAGCTTCGTATTAACCTTCTTCATGAATTATATCTGTGTCTAATTCTACCTCTGCCAGTCCACGCCTGTTATTTCCTAATACATAACAAATAGTATGAACATATATTAGTGCATTATATAATTGTGGTCTTACAAAGGACCCAGCTCAAGGTGAAATTCCCCAAATTTCTCAAAAAAATTTAAGGTTACTAGACCACAGGCAAGCTGATGCAGGGTCCACACTTGCCTGAAGCTCCTCCACACAGATGAACGCCACACGAGCCCGCGATATCCACTACGCCTAACTTAAAGAGGAAGCCGTGGGACCCCCAGATCCAGCCAGCAGGTATACAATACACAAGAGTATTCACCCCTGAGAAGATCACATAGGCCACAAAGTTGAACCTGTGGACAGTGAACACAATGCTTCAACATCGGGGTTACATTATTGTTATACAGAGAATTGAAAACAGTGTCATCCAAGTTCATATTCCAAGTGGGCATAATCACAGCAACTACAGTATGTCTTATTGTCTTATGATAATTATTGTTGTCCCTTCAAGAGATCTTCCTGTACAGTATCTATGAATGTGTGCTACGTGAGAATGTTGAAACATATCTCTATGATTCAGTTTCAACCCTCTCTAAATTCACTCCTACCTCTCAGCTATAGCCCCTGACACGATGGTTGTGGCGGTGGTGGCAAAAGAAAGTTGAAAGAAGAAAGTTGTGTAGATGGCACCCATGTTCTCCTCGTCTGGGTTGATGGCAAAGTCGCCCCACCCACAGAAGGGGTTGGTCCACTCCGACTTACCAAAGGAGAGAGCGTAGCCAAAGAGCCAGTATGTGAATCCACCCAGCAACACATCCACAACGTTCTTCACCATGATGTTAGTTTCGTTCTTCATCGACACGCAGCCGGATTCCAGCAGCCCGAAACCTATTCACAAGAAAAAAAAATGAGGAAATGTTTATATCAGACTACGTACTGTTCTTAACTAATTCATCAAGTTTTCAAGGAACAGAAACCCGTAATCATAAAAATAAAATACTAGAAGATTCTATTGAATACATTGTAATGTGACGGTTAGATGATACAGTAGTGGAGGAAAGTGAATGAGCAAAATAAAGGTTGTGTTCATTACAAGATACTGTAATACTCAACTGCATACTGCCCTTATATAACTAAGCTTAAAGTCAACCAGTAACTAGACTTCCAGTCCTAACAAAAAAAGACCTCAGGCAAATTTCTTCCTTCTTGTCCCTGGGACTGACCTGACTGCATGGTGAAGATGATGAAGGTGGCAGTGAGAATCCAGGCGGCGTCGTTGCCGAATTCGTCATCTTCGGATTGGACGCCGCCGCCCCGGGAAGTGATGGTAACATTAACTGTGGCGTTGTGTGTGCCGTTGACACTGAAAGACTCCGTCAGGTTGACCGGGAAGATTTCCAGTATGCTGTTTACCTCTGTAACTACAGCACCCAAGTCCACAGGGGCCACGTCACTGTCGTAAAAAATCTAAAGTTAAGTCAAGATACACAGCACAAGTCAGATGAACATATTATTATATGAGGTAATAGTTGAGTACCACACTCTAAACTTGTCCCATGATAAAGATTTGGGTGAAAACGTCAGTAGTTGTCAGTGCAGGAGTTAATTTTCCTATGGCTTCAATAAATAATTTGTTGTTAAACTGTTATGAAGATATATAATGAAGGAGGGTGTTCAGTGACCAGTGCCTCTTATAATAATGAATTACTGTAAATATACAATTTCACTATGAAATTCATCTTTGTTTGTAGGTACTGAATTTTACTTATCTTTTTCTTATTTACCCACTAGCGGTGGCTATGCTGAGGAAAGGGGGCCAGTGATCTGTATAAGTTCCCTCCATTGTTCTTGATAATTTTGTCAAGGGCTATTTTGAAGCCCAGTACTGTTCGTGATTCTAGAGCTTAGTCTGATAGACCATTCAATAGGCCAGTAATAAGATCTGCCATCCGCTCGAGTTGGCTCCGCGACATCCACCCTGCTTTGGGTGCCTGGGGATATCTGGGACTGTCGCACGGATGACATAGTTTTTTTAATGGAGAGGGCGCCTCCTCCCCATCTCAGAGATATTCGTCGTAAGCGCCTCTCCCAGTACCGGGGGGTCTTTTTGGTAGAGAAAGGAGGGGTGAAAGAAGATTAGAGGTGGGGGGAGGAAGTTATGGTTCGGAAATTGAAGAAATTTAGGAGGAGGTAGGAGAGGGCGGGCTGGCCGCCGAAGCTTAGCTAATAGTGTGTTAGGGTTGTGTCATGTTATGGGTTAGTTATTGTCCGTCGGTACAGGCACTAGACATTCTACCCTATCCCAAAAATGGGTGTTTTGAGGGCCTTATTTCATATTCCGCCGACCCTACCAGCGGATGCTAGTTTAGGGAGGTTGTCTATTGCCTGGCCGTATACATCGGGGGTGGTAATGGACCTTTTGAGATTTGGTAACTTTTTGGGAACCATGTATGGTTTTTGTTATCTGGTGAGAGTCTTTGAAGGAGTTCTTGCTCTGATCGTTCTATCTTTTGCCAGACTCTGCTGGCCAGGGTGTGCAGCTGCTGATTGATGGGTTTTATTCTCAGGTCTCTCTGTATCTCGGCTGTGGTTCTGGTGAAGGGATATCTTTCACCTGTGACTAATCTTAGAGCTTCATTTTGGACCACCTGTAATTTTAATATATATATATATATATATATATATATATATATATATATATATATATATATATATATATATATATATATATATATATATATATATATGTGTGTGTGTGTGTATATATATATATATTTTTTTTTTTTGGTATTAGCCCAAACACAGGTCACTGACCCACATCGGGGCATGGGGGGCGAAAATGTAATAATAATAATAATAATAATAATAATAATAATAATAATAATAATAATAATAATAATAATAATAATAATAATATATTAATAATAATAATAATTCATAGTAAATAAAATTATAATATAAAATACAAAATTGAAAATAAAATAAAATGAAAATTATAATAATAATAATAACAAAGAACCATAAAGAAATACAAAAATGAAAAGCAGATCAAAAGTGAGAAACATTATATGTATGTTGTGTTGTCAATAGTAAGAGAAACAAGTGAGACCCTGCAATTGTGTGTAAATGAAGCAGAAAGTCAGATGAGCAACCTGGGACTTGGTCAATATTTTCGTGTTGCCATCTGGCAGCAGGGTCTACCATTAGACAACACATTAGGCTTCCAATATCTTCCCAGGCGGTAGCACCTCCCTCTTTGGTACCTGCCTACTACCTACTACCTGCTCATAGTATGAAGAGGTACTGCTGGGTAAGTTAATTTCGGTATGATAAATGATGTCACCAGGCGGAGTTTTATTTTCTCAGTAAGCGCGTTAAAGTGGTATAGCTTTTATAGCTCTCTTCTTGCCTTTTCCTTCCTGGTGTGGACATGATGGGAGTAACCTGTCGTTGATATATGCAGATCCAGAAGGGTGCCTCTGCTTTTGTATTCTATCTGGGCATTACTGGTTACTAATGGATGGGCTTTCTTTCTGCATAAGGGTATCACTGAATTTTGGGAGACTGGTTTGGGTTTTCCATTGTTTTTCGTAATTATTTACAATTTCTAATTCCCGCCTGGTGTTGTCTTACAGTCTTTCTTTGGTGCTGGGGGAGGGAGTGGGTAGTGTGAGAGGGGACGTCCTCTCCTTTGTGGAGGAAGCCGTCCTTCTACGCAATTTATGAGTTTTATCTATTCGCGTTTAAAATTTAAATGGTTTTTATGAAGGTTTCATGCTATTTATGGCTTTTACCTTGCATTATTTAATTTTAAGATTCTAAACTTTTATTTAAATTCGATGACATGACCTGAGCTTTTGCCTCGCCAGGGACGTAATTACCACAATCAATCAATCATTTTAATAATAATAATAATAACAAATGACTATGGACACCATCAATATTAATCTACTGTTGTCAAATATAATTCACCAACTTTAGCGATGATCTGTAACCAGTGTTCAATGCATATGTTTATCCTACGAAGGTATTCCCCTATTTCACGATGTCATAATTGTCACATGCCACCCCTTTTTTACTACTTCTTTTGCAGTGACACAAACACCGCCTAGATGACAAACTACAGGCTAAAGCATTCCCAGGCAAACCGTACTGCTATGAAACGTCAGAGTCAACTGGGCAGAGATAAAAATATCCAGGCCGGAGTTGTACTGTAGAATTAAAACATGTACTGTACTCACCTTACGTTAAGCTTGAGGACGTTCTCCGTCATGTTCAACATCCCTGCTGCTATCTTGACTGCCGCTGATCCACTGCAACAACACAAACACTTGATAATGAAAACAAATGATGCATAACATATACTTGTAAATCATTGTGGACCTTAAGGTTATTTTTTTTATGTAGTATAGGTAGGCGAGTAGTCCAAGATTACCTTAGGAAATTAAGACCCAGCACTGTGTCGTGTGTAGGTGTAGGTGCCCGCGAGGCAAGGCCTATACCCTTGTGGTCACGCTCGGCCATGTGGTGAGGGTTTGTGTGGCGAGTGTGATGATGGTGCTTCACTGTGTGGTGAGTGTGATGATGGTGCTTCTGTATGTGGTGAGTGTGATGATGGTGCTTCTCTTTGATATATCTCATGTCATATGGAGCCTATGTATCACATAGGCTTTTGTATAGACATTATTAACAACTAATTACAAGAATTTATTAACTTTATTAGACAATACTTTTAAAACAGTATAAAAAATGTTCATGTGTTTCTGTGTGAGTCACTTCATGAAACTCTCTAGTTATTTCCTTGCTGGCCATAGAATAATGATGAACCACTGCTGTGTATCACATCATTACCTTGTTCCCTTGGCAAGTTATATTCAAGTGTCAAAAAATTTAAACACGTCATGACAGGATATTTCTACCACACACCACCTTCTCTCCTATTCCCTTCCCCCTGTTCTTGTTTCTCAGCCACCCGTGTGTGTGTGTGTGTGTGTGTGTGTGTGTGTGTGTGTGTGTGTGTGTGTGCGTGCGTGTGTGCGTGTGTGTGTGTGTGTCCGCCAAATAGGGATAATGGGATAATCTTTTTTCATTGTTATGACAATGTAAATTAATTTGCATATGAAAAAAAAATGCTGTTTCATAATAAGACGTCGTTTATAATCATAATGTATTCAAGTTATATATAGCTAAAGCAGGTTACGTTATATTTCGTTACATTTCGTTACATATCATTACGTTACGGACGTTACGTTATGTTACGTTTTGTATGAAGCTATTCATTTATATGTATTATTACAAGTGAAAAATCAGAAATATTATATTGGATTGTCGGCCATTAATTTGGTAAAACTTTTGTATTGACCAATACATGATGCCTTAATGAGCCGTAAGACATTGGTGCTGATAGAACATTCCGTTCTTACTGTAAGGCTGCTTTAATTCTCTGACGCTGTTGTACAGAACCGACTTGGATGTTCCCATGGGTGTAGAGGTGAACCAATAGCCTTCAGGCTGCTGGCACGCCGAACAACATTGATGGTCATTAAAATTTTGATTACATAGGCCGAAAGAGATAATTACGAAATACTACTAGCATGTATTGGCAAGGGCAGCCCAGAACCTTCAGGAACTCCGCCGAGTGGGTCCCATAGGCCACCCTTCTTGGCCAATCTCCTTAGGTGCTGAGGCAGCTGAGGGTCTTCAGGACTCCGCCGAGAGGGCCAGAACAGCCGCCCTCACGCCCCCAAGGAGTGATGCTAGCGAAGGTCCCGCTGGACCCCCATGTAAGGTTGAGACTTTTCCTGTATTTCTCTCTAAGACTGAGAGAGGCAACACTGACTAGTGACGCTAAGAGTATCTACTGTCATATCTTGATATATTTATTACTTATTCTAACGTAGCTTCCACAACACATCGAGACTTTGGTGTTTGTTTCTGCGAGTGAAGGAGATATAGTGAGTCAACCTGAGACGTTAGCCAGCTGGTGCACGAGTTTGGACTTACGACCACAAGTAACCACAACTTATATGAAGTATACAGGTATACAGTCCTCAGTAACTTTTGCCAAATTCTTCACTTTGTGGTATAAACAATACAGTATTAACATTATTTACCACTGCTTAGAGGTGTGATGTTTGAGGTTTCATAGTTTAATATTTATAGACAGGCAGCCTAATGAGGTGATGACCTTCACAGCCAGCAGGAGTTGTACTGACAGCCCAACGATGTGTTCAGTGTATCAGAGAACTGTGTATGTTAACTAAAGCATGAGACTTGGCCTGCTGCTGTACTATGACAACATTATGTCGTGTGGGACATCACCAGAGTACTCCTGTGTTGGCCTAAGCAGACATATTCTAAAACTGCTGCTATATCTTTTTAGCACCGGCCAGTGGACATGTTTGTTGTCCATTAGACATAACATATAACTGATTTACTTCACGTTTGTGGAAGCAGTAAAATAACATTATATTCAAAGTAAAGGGGAGGTATGACCTGAACGACTGGTGACGAGTATTCAAGGGTCTATGATGCTCTGTGTGTTCGTGCGTGCGTTGACACTGTGAGCTGCCGACCAGTAAGGACCCCTGGTCTCACCTACCGCTCGACCTGAGTGGGTCAGTAATTATGGTTTCTGACTGTACCTCATATTTGTAGACTTGACAAGATACGATGTTAAGTAGTAAAGTGGGCAATGAAAAAGCTAGTAGTAAAGGTTGTGGCATATGAAGGCTCAAGAACCTCTGTGTGAGTAAATGATAGGAAATTTGACGTATCAGTAGTATAAGTTCATCAGTATTTATCATGGTACTGGAGGCCTACCCTAGTAGTTGTTGGATGCTGATGAAGTAGTTCTGATAACAGATAGTATTAAAGAAGCAGGGGAGAAATTTAAGAAATGGAAGGATGGAATAGAGGCAAAGGGCATGAGAGTGAATGTGGAGAAAACAAAATTATTGTGCTATCTGGAAAAAAAAAGGAATGGCGCCAACCCAGTAATTTGCACCACTTTTGGAAGGTGGGTAGACAGGAGGGCAGTGGAGTAGATGGCAGACTGCGTGATGTTGATGACTTTATGTGTTCTGTACGTGCAGGTAACTCTATATGGCAGTGAATTATGGGGAATTAAAGTGGATGACCTGAACGAGCTGAAATGAGAATTATGATATAGATAATTAGATATGTTATGTAACATTAAAAGTCAGGTGGCTCTGTTCAGAGCGAAGAGGGCGACTGGGTATTGAGAGTACGGTATTGGTGAAGTTTTGTGTAGAGGCAGGTTGAGATGGTTGAGGTATATAGAGAGAATGGATGAGACCAATTGGGTCAAGAGATGCATAAGACAATGTGGAGGGGGGAGAGCCAGAGGTAGGTACAAAATTATATTGGGAGAGGTTATAAGAAATGACATAAGCGTTCGGAACCTGACAAGAGAAACTACAACAGACCGTGCAACATAGAGCCCTGCCATCGGGTAACTGCGGCTAACCCACACAATCATGGAAATGGCTGTAAAGTGATGATGATGAGACAAAAATCATACGGCACTTGGGTTTATTATTATTATAAAATTATTATTATTTTAATGACATCAATACTATTTCTTCTTTGTATTGTAAATAGGAGAAATTTGTATTACGACCAATAAAAGCCTCTACCAAAAACAAGTATCGACCTAGTTATTGGATGCCATGTTACTTGAAAGCCCCCAACTCATGCGAGCCTGCTCCGAATTCCAAAAACATAATACATGTTTAATAAGAGCATTGGTTCAATACTGACCCTCACCTCCACACATTTGACCAAATGTCATGAAACTGGTCAGGTCACAAGAACAATACTCTTGGATAATGTGTCCTAGAGTTAACAATTAAATAATTAGTACGTATATATTTAGCTCAGGGTAGTGAAAAAATATAGGACTTAAGTTTTTCTGTGATAAATGTAAAAACGGAATATATTTATCGTGAAGTGGGTCATTTTCGATATTATTAATTAATAAATGAGTGGACTGTGTAATATCTTGTGGAAGTATTAGTTTAAGAAAGTGAGCAAGATTTACCTGTCCGTCAGCAGGTGCTTAGAGAGGTTGAAAATTTCTTCCAACAGTGACGACGTAGGCTCGCTGGACGGCACCAGGGGAAAAATTTTTATAGGAATTAAATTGAAACATAAACATACTGGTACAATTTACCTCTGTTCATAATACAGTATATTAAATAAGATAATAGTATGATGGATTTGATAAACATTTATCTTATTGTTACTATATCAAACATGAAATAAAATGATATACATGCAAATACAATTTTGATACAATTAAAAGCTAGAACGATGATTCACCATCGAAAAATGCTATAAATGCATATCACATTTAACTCGTTTAGAGATTATATATATATATATATATATATATATATATATATATATATATATATATATATATATATATATATATATATCATTTATACTCCGAAGATCTTAAATTCCAACCCCTACTGTCATGCGTTCATAACTCCGAAACTATGGGGTATTGACACTATGGTCGTGAAGTAATTTATCCGTATGTCCAGTGTGTTTCAGGAAGACACCTTCCGAATTATGAAAAGTATTCTGAAACACCCTGTGTATAAATACAAGAAGGTATACTGACCTATTTGTGTCGTCACTCTCGATCGTTGGCGGTCCTGTGACGTAGCCATCCACGTTCTCCTCCGCCATTTTCCTTCACTGAAGTAAACGTGATTACCAATTTGGGGATCTGAAAAGGTGAAGTTGAATTACAATTTGACAAAATATAGAAAATTAAAGCTTTCAGCACTGCATTTACAGTAATTCTCTCTTTCTCTATGCATATATTTCTTAGTGCGTTTATTTCCATCTTTCTTTCTTCTCGGCCATACCTCACTTATTCGCAGACATATCCTCTGCCACATTATCTAAAGCACTGTTCCCCTGCAAACTAATATGAATTTTTCTCTATTCTTCCACTCATACTCACTAACATTTGCAACTTTACTTCCGAGTCACCCACCAGAGCCGTATCATCTACGAACACTGGGTGATTCACTTCCTATTTGCACCTTTTATTGCTTACAGCGACGTTACACATCTTTGACACAGTCCTAAGTAATGTGAACCATCTCCCCGCCATCTCGACAGTCTTACACACATTTCACTTTATAAAATACTGGATCACCATATATTTTCAAGACAAAACATACCATGTGACCTTGGCAAAAGCTTTTTTTAGATCTGTGAATGTCATTTGCA